GATGGGGGACAGAGGCTCAGAGAAGAGCTTGAATTGCCCAGGAGTGCACAGGCTGCATTCTCCACCTCCCCAGAGTCCTGCTGTCTGTGTGTGTGTCTCTGTCTCTCTGGTCCAAGGGTGGGTCCTGTTCTTGACTAGGCTGGGACTCCCCAAGGTTGGCCTGTATGTCTCCGCCCCTAAACCGGTACCTGGTTCTTCAGCAGCCCATCTTCATAGTACCAGATGCAGCTGCCTCCGGCTCCAGGCTCAGAGACCACCACACGGCCCGCCTTCATGTCCTCCACATGGTCCGGCACTGCCAGGAAGCCTCCCAGTGCCGCATTCCAGAGGCGGAAATAAGCCCGGCGCTGGTGAGTAGGAGGAGCTGAGAGTCAGAGCTCCCTGGGCAGGGATGCTCCCACCTGGACTCCCAACTCCCTCGACTCCGGACTCTACAGTATTTCTAGGTCCCAAGCCCTCCTTCCTGCCTCTAATCCTTCCTCAATTCTGTTTTAAGTCACCCCTTCTTTCCCATACAAAGACTAAGGGCACATCCACAGTACACACCCACACTCACACGGTTCTGTGTCCATAAATACCCACAAACATGTGTAGAGGGTCACACTGGCATATACACACAAGGTCCACATGATTGCACAGAAGTTTGCAGCAGACACAGACACACAGACACTCACAGCCAAGCAAACTCACACTTCCTAAGCAATGCATGGGTTTCCCCAGCCTACTCTACGCCAAGCACTTGTATTTGCTAAACAGTTGGATGCATGTAAGAATACAGACATGCACACACGCACCCATGCTGAAGAGGTACCATAGCAGGGCAGACACTGCGTTGTACCGTCAGACACCAGACTGGGCTCTGCAACAAATCAGCTGGGGCCTCAGATACTGGTGATGGTAGTAATAGTAATAAGAATCACAGCAAACATTTGTTGAGTGTGTAAGCACTCAAGAGTTTTATATACACTATGTTCAGTCTTCAAAACAACTCGATCATGTGTTACCCTCATTTTAAAGATGAAGAAGCTGAGGTCTGTGGAGCAACAGTACTTGCCCAAGACTGCAGAGGAAATCCTTGTCCATTTCTCTGGGCCTTTATTTCCCCATCTGCAAAATGTGGGGGTTGGAGATAATCTCCAAGATTTCCTTGAGCACTGATGTTATAAGAGTCTGTGAATATAGGGACCACACATATCCTCATACAAAGACGCACACTCTCAATAGTGTCACAAACGTAGGCACATGTAGCCATAAACATACTCTTACAGATGCGTACACACACACAACCACCTCCAGGGCACGCAGATACATGGACACAACATAGAAATACTCTCAGACGGGCGTCTGCGCGTGTGCACGTGTACACACACACACACACACACACACACACCCCAGGGCTGTGCTTCCGCATTCATGCACATGTACAGAAATGAGACACATGTCCAGATATGCAGACTCAGCATTTCCCAAAGTGAAGTGTGCTTACTACTACTGGGTGGTGCATGAGATAATTTTCAGTCCTACACAGATAAACTTATTGTTAAAATTTTATATTTATTATAGTGTCTATTAAGGAAAAATCATACATCCACATCAAACTCATGATTTTATCAATATTATCCCTTAGGATAAGGATAGAGTAAAAAAAAAAAAAAAAGTCCACTGATTTAGAGAAAAATATTAAGTAGATAATGGTTCAAGAGGAATGATGATGTGGCAAAATTGTGCCAAACGCACACAAATGCTGAGTTTGAGAAACATGGGAAACACACAGATACACACCCAGACAGGCTGGCACAGACACACTCAACCCAACATGCTACCTACCTGCTTGATGGGGTAGAGGGAACCCACCCTCTGGGTCCCACTGTAGGTCAGCCAGTTGGTGATCTCGCAGCTGCCCACCAGCCACTGGCGGCCTCGGAAGTCACTGTGCTCACACAGCACCCAGCTGGGCCCAGCAAGTGCCAGAGACACAGAGAGACAGAGAGAAAGACAGACAGACAGACAGATAGACAGACAGATGGAGGAGGCACAAATGTCAGAACATTCTCTCTCTCCTTTTTTCTCCTGCTGGGACTCCTCTGCCTGGGGTTAAGGTCTCCAGGGGGGAAAGGGAGGCTGGGAAGTGAATTTGGGGTTTGGAAGACAAAGGAGGGTCCAGGAGACCCCCCCACACACACACCCCAGGGCTAGCATCCAAGCCCTGAGAGCCAATGACCCTCCTCAGTCTGCACTTCTCCCTCCTCCTTGGCTAGGAGTGGGGAGGAGTAGAAGTGGGTAGGGGGAAGAGGCCAGGGACCCAGCCCTCACTCACTGCAGCCCCCAATCCCCTGTGCCTCCCCAGAATCCACTCACGTGCCCCCCTGGATCCGCACAGACAGCACGTGGTTGTTGAAGCCCTCAGCTTGCAGGCTCCGCACCTCCCCATTGAGCTCAATCTCCTTCCCCTCGAAGCATTCCAGGCCATATAGGAAAAGGGAGGGCTCTGAAAAGTGCTGGGGGCCCGGGAGCATGGAGAAGGGGTAAGGCCACAAGAGCCCTAGCCCCAGAGTCAGTCCCCCCACTCCCAGATGGGTATTTCAGGCCCTCTTTCCTCCTGAGCTCCTGGAAAATGCCAGCTGGATGTCCTTCAGATTCTCAGATATGGCATGTGACAGATTGGGCACCCCACTGTCCTTCAAACCCCCTCCTCAGTAAATGGCACTTTTAAGAATAGTATACTAATAATACTGGTAATTATAGCAGTTCTCAAATATTCAGGGCTTACTACATGCCAGTAAAGTGCTAAGCACTTTACCTGATCTCATTATAATTTCTCAACCTCTTTATGAGGTATGTGCTATATTATCCCGGCTTAGCAGAGGAGAAACTGAGGCTGGAGAAGATTAAACCACTTGCTCAAGGCCCTAAATCTGGGCTTCAGAACCAGGTCTATCTGTCTTCAGAGCCCAGCATATAGTTATAAAAAGCTTGGACTCAGGAGATGAGCTGCCTAAGGAAGAACCTGGCTCTGCCTGGTACCAGCTGTATGACCTGAAGTAAGTCTCATGACCTCTCTGTGCCTCAGTGTTCACATCTGGAAAAGGGAGATGGTAATAGTAACAAAGGCTATAGGGTTGTAGTAAGGATTAAACCCCTTAGCATACAGGAAGTCTTTTAAATACTGCCTGGAGCATGATGTGTGCTCAGTAAATGCCAGACATTCTGCTCATGCAGCTGCTGCTGGCCCACCCAGTCGGTCTCCAAGTCCTACAGACTTCAGATTTTTAATAAGGTTCTTGTTACTTCTCTCCATATCTTCCCTGGTCTAAGATATCATGATTTATTCTGGCTTACTATAGCGGCAACCCCACTGCCTTGCCTCCACCCACCCATTCTCCACGTGGCAGCGAAGCCATCTTTCTGTGTCACTCCTCCCTGCACAGAACCACTGCCTTAGCAGTCCGGCCCCTGTCCCCCAGCACACCCCTGAGTGCTACTCCTTCCTGTCCCATACCACTTCTGTATCTGGACACACCACTCTGCATTGTAATCTGTATGTCAGCGTGACCATGGGTTCCTTGAAAGCGGGGCTGATTTATTTCAGTGTCTCCAGGACCTATCTCATCAGGTGCTCAATAAATCTCTAGTAACTTGAACTGGCTTTGAAGCCCTGGGGTCAGGGGGACCTGGGGTGATTCTGAATAAGACTGGATTCAAGCCTCAACAATGAGAAGAGGCTCAGGATGCCCCCCCCAGCACCTCAGGGGTTGCCTGGAACTAGACAGGGACACTTACCAGGGGTACCTTCCGGAGAGAGCTCAGGACTGTGGAGGCTAGGCAGCCCATGGCCGTGAGGGTGGGGAACTCGCCCTCGGAGAGAACGTGCTGGTCACCCTCAAAGTTCTTCTCATCAAACAGGATCCAGCTGGGGAAGGGGAAGAGTGGGAGGATGTGAGTGGGTGGATATTTGAGCCTGCCCTGTCTTCAGCCTGCCCAGGCTCCCTGAGATACAGCAGAGTGGACACAGACTTGATCACGACCCCTCTGATCCAGGGGAGGTCAAAGAGGAACAGGCACTGCAGCAACAGGGACTGAGGTAAGACGTAAGAAAGGACTGACTGAAATCGTACTATTCTCATCGAGGGAAATTTGGCGATATCAAGCAAAACTCTATGCAGTTACTCAGCGATCTCATTTCTCAGAATGTATCCCAATGACCCCCTTAGAAAACGTAAAATAACATATGCACAAGGCCATTCATTACAGCACTGTGTGCACTAGCAGAGTGGAAGCAGCCCAAATGGCCATCAGCAGGAGATTGGTCAAATGCACTAAAAATATGGAGTATAATATAGCAGTAAAAGGGAATGAGAAACAGCTCTTAAAGAGATATAAAGTGACTTTGTATGCTTTGTTTTAAAAACAGATATAATTCATACGACACAAAATTCACTTTTAAAGTGTATATAATTCAGTGGTCTTTAGTATATTCACCAGGTTATAGTACGCTTCTTTTTGTGTAAGAAAATGAGGGAGGAGGAAAACAAAATATATTTGGTTTCGATAGTTATATGTAAGTCTTTAATGAGTGTATATTTGCTTACGTCTTCCAAAAAAATGGACGAATAAACCAACTGCTAAAAAAAATAAAATAAAAATCACGTATAGGAGGAAGGAAAAAGGACAGAGATGGAGACTAAGTTGTTTAAGACTTGACTTTGGAACTGCTAAGGACTGAATGTATCTCCCCAAAATTCACATGTTAAAGCCCTACCCTCAAATAATAGCCTTTGGGAGGTAATTAGGTTTAGATGTGGTCATGAAGGTAGAGCCCCCATGATGGGATTAGTGTACTTGTAAGAAGAGGAAGAGATAAGAGTTCTGTCTCCACCGTGTGGGGTGACAGCAAGAAGGCAGCCGGCTGCCAGCAGGGAAGATGACCCTGACCATGGAGCCAAACTGGCCAGCCCTTGATCTTGGACTTCCCAGCCTCCAGAACTATGAGAAAATAAATTTCTGTTGTTTAAGCCACGCAGTGTATGGCATTTTGTTACAGCAGCCCATGCTGACTAAGACAGGAACACTGTAAATATTTTATGTAATTAAAAAATGTTAAAATAAAAATAAAAAATATTCCTAAAAATTAAAATAAAATAGAATAAACAAATCTGTGTATCAGGTTGATGGCATAACCACACAGAAAAACTACACATTATTTCAAATGTCTTAAAAACATAATATTTTGAACTGTACATACCAAATGGGATGTAGGTGAATGTCCTGAGGACAAAAAGAACCACAGAGAAACCTCAAACAGCATTCACTGGGTTTTACTGTTAGTAGTAGTATTAGTATTATAATTTTGAAACACCTCACAGGCAGATTTTTGGTCTCTAAATACCATTTCCCACTAAAAAGAACCAGAGTTCCTCGGGAAATGGCCAATTCCAAGTTTGGACAAAAAAATGCAAAATTATCCTGGAGCATCTAATTGTACCAGAAAAATAAGCAAATTATATATTTAAAAAAAAAGACTGAGGTCATGTCAAAAGGACCTAGGAGGCAATTTGAAGGGGCTCCCATTTGCCAAAGATGGAACAATTTGAGTACACAAAAGAACCATGACTCCAATGTACTGAAGCATTACAAATTCATAAAAATCCATGAGTTCATAACAATATTTTTAAAAAAATCTTCATTGGTCAGCTTTGGAGGTTGTTATGGCACCAATTCAGAAATTATTCTGAAAACTGATCAGGAGAAAGGGGCAAACATTGATCCTTGGGAAAGATAAAATGCCTTTTTTTGTGTGTAAAGTATTTCAGATAAATAGTTGAAAAGGAAAATTATTCTTTGTTGAAGTATTTCTGCTAATATGTGTAGAAGGAATAACAAATTTTAGAAAATCACCATTTTGTAACTTCTAAAGAAGTAACAGATGTAGGCAATTATCATTGATGGATATAAAACCATTAGATGAACAGTAAATGGGGACTCTTATGATGTAGAGATTTTAATATCATTAAAAGTGGGACAAGCAGACACAAGCCTCTTGATGTGATTCAGTAAGAAGTAAACAGCACCACCTATACAGTCTCTTGCCAACAAAACAAAATACCCTCCATCTCATCAAGCCTCTAGATCTAACTACCAGTTTACAGGAAATATGGGACGCAGAGGAACAAGTTAAAAGACACCACCAGGAAGCAGTAGCCAAATACAGAAGATGGCAAACTCACAGGGCAAATTACTGAGTTTCTTCGAAAAAATAAGCGGTATATAACAGAGAAAGGGAGGCATGTGTACACCAGAGACCAAACTGACCAAATGCAGTGCGTGGACCTTGTTTGGATCCTGAGAAAAACAAACCGATTTTACAAAAGCATTTTTTGAGACAATAGGAGAAATTTGAACATGGACTGGGGATTAGGTAACATTAATAAATTATTAATTTTACTAGATGTAATAATAACTTGTGGCTATGTGTGCCTGTGTGTGGAGGGTCCTTTCTTATCAGAGATACACATTGAAATATTTACCTGTGAAATTTTATGTTGAGTCAGGGATTTTAAATACACTAAAAAAAAAAAAAACCAAGACTGGGGTTCTTTATACTATATTTTCTACAAGTTTACAAGTTTTACATTTTCCATTAAAGTTTTCCATTAAAACTTTGCTTTATTTTAAAATTTAATGTTTCGGGACAGAATAGCTTATTTCAAGGCAGCCAGAGTAAGGAAATCATTTGGAAGAAAGACTGTTTCTGCAGCCTCGACTTTCATACTGAGTTAAGCACTTCAGAGCAGGTGTGCCCCGCCTCCCCCCACCTCTCCCCCGGCCCCCTCTCCCGCACCTCTGAGCCTCCCCTCCCTTACGTCCTCACCTGCCGCCGTGGACACGGCAGGACTGGGGCTGGAAGGAGGCGGGAAGAGAGGTCTGGTCATTCTCGAATGAGATGTGGTCTCCCAAGAAGTTGGGGCCCGAGAAAAGCTGAATCTGGGGCCAGAGACAGGAACAAATAAGTGCAGGAGGGCTATGGAGTGAGCCAGAATGATTGGGGAAAAGGGGGAGAGATTTGAAATGAGTGGAGAGACATAAGTCCCCACCAGCTCCTTACCTTTGAGACAAAGTGCAGATTGTGCTCCCCAACCTGAAGAGAGGAACCAGTTTCGAAACTTAAGGAGTGTATCAGTCGCTAGCCTCAGTTCCTCTGCTTTTCAATATTCCCGCCCTTAATTGTAGCTCTCGCAGAGTTTAGGTCGGTATTAGATCCGTCCCTCCCAGAGGCCCCGCCCCCGCAAGCTCCTGTCCGCGTCCTAGTCCCACTCTCCTACGGTGGGCTTATCCCAGACTCCAAGCCCCGCCCTCCGGAGGCTCAGTCCCGGGCGGCCCGCACGCACCTGCAGGACCGGCTGCAGCGAGGCGAGGGCGCTGTTGCCCGCTCCCCAGTCTTCGCAGTTGCGGTACACGCCCTTCTCCAGCACGTACTGTTCGCCGGAGAAGCCCACCTCCTGATAGGCCACCCACCTGCAGGGAGGGCGGGGCGCGGGTCAGCGGGATGGAGCCGGCACCTACGCTGGAACCACCCGGGTCCCATCCCGCTCCCGGGGTCACTCACACGCCGCTGAGCACGTGGATAGCCTGCGTGTGCGGGCCGTGTCGCGCCAGCTCCAAGTCCGGCAGTGCCTCGCTCACTTCTACGCCGTGCCCCTCGAAGTCCATGGCCTCAAACAGCACCACGGCCGGGTCCGCAAAGTCCTGGGCCCCAGGGACAGTCAGGTTTTCCCCGCCCACCAACAGAAACCCCTGAGAGTGCCCAGACCCCTGGGAGGCAGCCCACCAGGGGACTTTGGGGTGAGGCGATCAGTGTGGCCTGGGGAGGAGCAGCAGGAGGGAGAAAGGCTAGACCTCAGGGAACACTGATAGAGCACAAATTCTTCCCCTTAACAAATTGTACCACCGGGGTATGGCTGTGGCCAGAGGCAGAGGGATGGACCACTTGTCCTTGCTTACCGTCCGGATGACCCGCAGGGAGGTCAGCGTCTCATCATAGCCCCCCCAGTGTGACCAGTCAGCATATTCGCCCTCCTCCAGCAGATACTGGTGGCCCCGGAAGCCCTCCTTCTCATAGCCTACCCAGCTGTGGGAAAACAGAGACACTCAGTCACAAGAGACCCCTGGATGTGTAAGACAGCTGCCCCCACCCCTAGGCAACCCAGATTACTCCCCACCCCCAGGGTAGAGGCCAGAGGGGAGATATGGTAGAAGGAAGGGTCCTGAGTCCTCACCAGCCACCAAGAACTTGCAGGGACCCCACGGAAGCCAGGTGGGGGCTGTGGCTGTCCTCTGGCTGCTGAAGGTTGTAGATGTCTCTGCTCACTTCCCAGCTCCGGCCTTGAAAGCCTGGGGCCTCATACACCACAGCCTGGGGGAAAGGAGTAGTTGGGTTGGTGGGGAGTGATCTGGACCCAACAGCACCCAGCCAGCCCAAGATGGCTCTGTCCAGCACCAGCCCAGAGCTAGATAAGCCCTCCCACTCCCTCACTGAGCCCCCCTCCCCCAACCTCCCACACCCACCCTTACTTAACTCCTGTCTCTTCTCTGACCTAGTAGTTGCATATCAAAAGCCAGTTCCCAGTGAGCCTGTTGGGTTCCACCCTCCCAGACCCAGTTTCTGACCCTTGGAGCCCTCTTCTCCCATCTTCTAGTCAGGCTGAGATAGCCACACATACACACCTCACCCAAAGGCCCTCTTTGACCCTGAAGCCTCAACTCTTACCTTGGGCTCCCCTGGCTTCTCCACTCTTGGGCAGCCCTATAAAGGAGACAGAGCTGAGACACTGGCCCAGAGGTAGGGAA